ATTGGTTATCGGCTACATGAGTTTTAAAATATCGGCATATCGGATATCGGCCAAAATCCCAATATCGTGCATCCCTAATAATTATGTTTAATGTTGAGACAAAGTGGTAGAAGAAGATGCATCTCAAGTAAAACTAAAAATGGATGTACAGTATGTGTGGAAACAACTTAATGCTTTAGTAGAGAATACAGTAAATGTTTTCTCACTAAAGCAACATCACCCATCACCTTTATTAATGTAACACCGCTTTGAGACAACATTATGTAATCTACAAGCTAGCTAGGAAACTGTTTCATTATCTAAATGGCTCAGAGCAGAAGAAAACCAGTACTGCATACATTTCAGAACAAAAGGATTGTTCTAAGGCAGTTCATAATTATTAGGAGTATGTGTGTAACATGCGATAAACACAGTAAACAAAGCTCTAAGTGTGCATAAAATGTTCATTACAAAATCTTAAACAAATTTCCTTATTTACGGAAACAAAGGGACACAATAATACCAGAGACAGGTTATATCTGGTGGACCTGAGGTGGTAAGAACTATTTACAATTTAAATAACAAACAAATCAGCTGCCTTAGACAGAACAGTGATGAGTAGTTAGAAAGACAGACAAAGAGATAACAGACAGACAGGACTTTATGCGCTTGGTACCAAAGCTACTTGTGCAGGGAAAATAATCTGATAACATCCAAAGATACTGCGGTGGTGAAGTCAAGGTAACATCAGCTAAAAGATGCAAAGCTATGAAAATTTTAGATTATCACCAATTAGGCATAAAATTACAGATTTCTGTTCTACATTTATTTTAAAAACCAGAAAGTAATCCAAACAGTTCTCCAAAAGGAAAAAATACAATATAAGAAGGGTTTTCTTTTAAAATTTAATTTGTGATTTAGAATGTAAGTCGACTTTTTGGTTAAATATTGTGTAAAAAATAATTTTTTTGGTTTCTGACGCTGAATTAGACTTAATTTCTCATGTTACAGTACAGGAAGGCTTCTGATCCTGTTTGGCAAAATTATAAGTTTGTTTTGGATTTTTTTTTTTTTTTTTTTTTTTTTTTTTTGGCTTTTTTTTTTTTTTTTCAAAATAAAACGTTTAAATGCATTGACACCATGCCTTTAACCCATTTAGAGCAGTAATTAAATAAAAAATGATTAATTATTAAAAATGAAAAATACATAAATACATTGTATTTAAGATTTCATTTTAATTGTCCATTAATATGCTTTACTTCTAACTTTTCTGGGTAGAGCATATTAAAATACATTTAAAAAACAAATCTTAAATACCAAATATCTATGTATTCTTTTTTTTCAATTTAATTACTGCTCTAAGTGGGTTCCTCACAGTAGAGAAAGACTGAAAGATCAATTTGCCTTTTCATCTGGCTCTTTGTCCAAAAATAAAAAGTAAGCAATGGAATATTTCTTTAGGATTTAATTTAGGGAATCCTTTGGTAGTAATTAAAGAAAATGTACATCACCTCATGTGAGCTGGAGGAACACAATTCTGATAGCAGGAAAAAAAGCATTTTTTTTTTTTTTACACATGGCTGACGCTGTCAATCAGCCACATATAGTTTATTAAGTTACGAGGGCACAGACAGGCATGCAACTATTCAGTGTTCAATGATGATGTGGGCTGAGAGAACACTAAAGTGTGCAAAAACACATTTTTCTGATATTTAGAGAAATGTCCTTTGCTCTAATGACATCAAAGTGATTGGCCACAAAGGTCATTGTTCTAATTAAAGTAAAAAGTTTGAATTAGGCGAGTCCTATCCTAATTTAAAGTAAGGTGATGAAATAATCACTCTGCCTTTTTTTTTTTTACCCTGATCCATGAAACTGATGTTGAGGATTGTGAAAGGCTATCCAAACATTTCACCCAAACCAACTAGTTTTCAGGAGAATTGTAACAAATACTAAAGAACTGTGTTGAAACATCTGAAATAAAAGAAAAAAAATGAAAATCGTGATTTTTCTATTTAAAAAACTGAAATATTTTAAATGATCCTAACTGATTTAAAACAGACAAGGTTTACTCTGATATAATATTTAGCCTGTAATAAATAAAAACAAGATTCTAAGTTTCCTTTTTATCATGGTACATAGAAAGATAGTTTCAACTATGTGTAATAACCAATGATACCTCCAGCAATGTTAAAAAAAAGTCCAGTAAATAACAAATTACTGACATTATGAGCATATGTTTATCATAGGTTAAGAATAACAGCAAATGTAAACAAAGATAGAGATGAGGATGAAGCGGGTCGGATGCCTGGTGTGTTTACAGATAAACACTGCAGCTTCAGCAGTCCTCTGACCTACCAGCCTTACATCAGCTGCTCTGGGGAACACTTTGTGCTCAGAAGACACCGTCTGACCCAATTTAAAACTTACCAGAACCAATGTCATTTTAAGAACTTGGACACTTTTGGCAACATAAGATTGCGTCTTCTAGCGATACAACAGGCATGTTCCTGAAAAGATAAGCGGACGAACACTTCTTCCATATCTCCACAGAGCTTCTGCTGAGGCACAAACAGTTTGAACTACGCGCATGTTTGGCAGAAGATAATCTGTTTGCATCTTTTTGTAACATCCAAATGTTTGGCATGTTGCCGTTTACCTTGGCTAACGGAGCGACAGCTTCCTCCTCCTCTTCCTCTCCCATGTCTTTGTCCTGCGACATACACAGAGAGAAAAACACAGTCAGGAACAAAACACCAACAGACACTAAACAAACCAGCTAATAACATTTTTACTTTATAAGGCAGGGAAGGATTGTGCGTTTTGTTTAGGAGTGTGTGCACATTTTCCTATGAAAGGCATAGAAATAAACACGCTACGTTCAGGGACTAGATGGAGGTATGAAGGGATGAAAGAATATCTGGAAACAAAGCAGGTTTATTATAAGATTTAAAGGACAAACTCTCCAACTTTGGACATTAATGTCTTTACTTTGACATTTCTACTTAGTTTTTTTACTTCTTTTTCTTTCATTTTCTTTTTCTTGACACTTACACTAATGCATACCACGAGGAAAAACTGATTAACTACATGTGTCATGGCAGTTTTGCTCAACCAACTGGGTGACAGGCCTTATTAATTAACACTGCATCTGGTATCATTGAATACAAACCATTTAGATGAAATAAGAACTTGTATCGTTTTCAGCCATTCTGATCATTTTTAGTGCCGTTTATGTGTTATATGTTCAAATTCATCACCTTGAGGTGCTATGTCCTCAAAACAGTTAGACGAATAAACAATCCTGAAACTTTGCTTGACTGAGTGTGCCACAGGACTGGTAGCTTCAACCACAAAAAGAATAAGCAAAGCAAAGGAGTGGTAGCCCCCAGTTTAAAAAGAAACACTGAGCATCCAACTATTCAACATGACAGCCGTGTCCCCCAGTGCAGACCAAGCAATCAAACTCCATCACCCCAGCTGGCAGGCACTTTCACTAGTTAATAGGAAGAGACCCCAACTATAACAAAGCCCGGCCCTGGGTATACCTCCTACAGTACCCAGAGTCTGAATGTTTTTATAAAATGTGAAATGTTACAAATGTAAAAGTAGGGTTAAAATTGAGGTGTTAGAGATACGTGTGTGTTCGATTTCAAAGGCTGCATCCCATGAATTCGAATTCAGCCATGATCTGCTGCAGGCAGACTTACCCCAATCCCAGTCTCAAAGCCATGTTTGTGGGTTTATGTGTGGACATGTACTTGTTACTTTGTGGGGACAGTGTAAGGTCAAGTTTCCATGATTATGCTGCTCTGTGGGGACTAACAGGTACTTCTTGGAACCAGTCAACTGATCCTGAGAGTGAAAAGTTCTCTTTTTGAGATGGGATGTGGGTTTAAGACTTGAATTGAGTTTAGGTTTGGTATGTATTGATATTGATTAGGCTTAGGGTACGGGTTTGGGTAAAGCAATAGAAATTAAGGTGCAAAAAATGGCCGAATGGGTGGAGAAGAATCACAATCACTTTATTCGGATTTATAGTTGTGATTTTCATTGCCCCTCACCCAAATACCCTACTGTTGTGTTAGCATGTGAATTGAGCACCCTTTTAACGACCCAGGACCAAGGAACATGGTTACAAACAAGCAAGATTACCTCCCAATCCCTCAGGGTCTCCAGGGATTCCACTCCAAGAATTATACCAAAAAAATCTAATTCAAGACCATGTAAGTACTTCATAGAAAAACTGCTTTGAATAAGGGGAACTATAAAACAGACCCATGTGCCCTTGTATCAGTGGTTCAGGTTGGTGTAATGGTACAGGGGATATTTCCTTGGCACATTTGAGCCCCTGGGGTCACAAAGCACCATGTGACAAAGCTTTAATAATCTGAAACTGGGTTCCTGCACATAACAATGAGTTCACTGTAATCTAATGGAATCTAAGGTCACCAGATCTCAAACAGATTAAGCACCTCTGAGCTACATGATACGTGTCAATATGGACCTCATTTCTGATTAATTGTTTCTGACACCTTATAGAAGGCATTTCTAAAGGCAAAATGGGTCAGTCAGGTACTAATGTACCAAGGTATTATTTTCCTGCATCTGAAAAATAATGAACGTTTGTGATTTTATAAAAAAAAAAAAAAATGAAATGGGTTGAAATATATTCAAAAAACATTAATTTGCTTTAGTGACATTTACATTGATTTTGGTTTTTAATTTTGCATTCCATTTGTATTTTAAAGTTGAAATTCTGAAAGAATGAGAAATTTCAACTGGAGAACCTCCAAAAGTCAGAGTTATGATCAGAAAGTCAGATCGTTCATAAAAGCTAGTTGCATCAACACATTTTTCTACTTTGACAGATTTATAGCAGTTCTTAGTTATTCATGTTATCTTTGATCAATCATACCCTAGCTACGTTTTTACTGTTTATAGGACAATATGCTTTCACCCTGTTCATCTTAAAAATCCCAAGAAACCAGTTTTTATGTCATTATTATTATGTTTGTAATATTTTTAGCACTTAATTTTTTACAACGATTCTCTATGGAACATTACAGATTAGGTGAACATAAAGAAAATGAAAAGAAAAATCTAAAATACTTTGATCTTCACTGTAATCAAATACATATCTGTGTTAGAATGTGGCCCAAAACACTAATGATGATTAAGGATAAAAAGTGAGCCATCAGAATCCATCAGATGTTCAGCCAAGCACTGAGACACCTGTAAGAAAGCCAAAACCTCTGCAAAAACCTCTAAATACCAACATTGTCTAACATCTAACAAATCCGAGGCAGAAAGGGAGGAATAACTATGGTTGGACAAGTCTGAGCAAGGTCTGCTGAGTCTCTGCCACAGACACTGATCAAAGAAAAACACACTGACTGATTACTGACCGCTGTTAGAGTGTAAAAGCATTAGCAGGTTTAACATGTGGGAGGATTTTCGTGGGAGTAGTATACTAAATATTTTTTTTTAAAGGATCGCTTGTAAGAAGTAAATTGACATCCATTTTCCGCTAACATTTTACATTTGTGTTTATAAAGGCCATGATGATACACAGAAAAATCCAACACTGAAAAAATATTTGCTTTAAGTCCTCAAATGCTTCACATTCTTAAATTCGGTGCAAAAAAAAAAAAAAAAAGAGTTGACATAAAACTGGACCGCAGTGCTGACTAGTTCACCATTTTAGCAACACACCTTGTATCACGTTCAACACTCCAACCTATTCATGGAACAAGCCTGCATAAATAAAAGTGCTTAAAACAACCCAAACAAGAATATTTTCATGCCTGTCATTGACGCCTTTCTGTTGAATAAACCTAACCAGGTCAGCTTGTTGCCAAAACTACACTGAGACTGAAGAGAAAAATCCACCTTAGTCTAAATTTGTAAAGATAACATTATTTGCTTTTCTTGGGAAAAGCCTGAGCTTATACACCAACAGCCTGTGCCTGCATTTGAACCTTCCAAATGTTCATTACAAACAGATATCTATGCCTTTTTTAATTTTCATATAAAAGATCCACTTAGATTAGATAAATGGATACATATTAAAATAAGGTATAAACATATTCGGTGGAGAGAAACCACCTAAATACACGAAGCAAACTAATTAACTAAGAAAGTCAAGGTTCTATTATAATAACCTAATTGGTGCCAACATCACCAAACAGCAGCTACCAGATTTTTCCTGCTTGAATGATTTTAATTATACCTTAAACATCATAACAGGCCTAAATAAAACCTTCATAATCTCACGATCATTAACAATGCTTCGACTCCACACTACATGACACATTTATGTTTAAACATGTCTAAACAGCCAGGTTTTAGGCTGCCAAATAAATAACTAAAAGCTTTAAAAAGTATTATATCAATTCCTTCCTGAAAGAAGCATTTCTCACAATACAGTTGTTCATATTGTAATTATCTGTGAACAGAAATCAAAGTTACAGATGTCAATAAGCTTATTTCCCTCAACACCAAAATATATTTTTTATCTTGAATAGATTAACTTGAATTTAGGAGATAAAACAAATCTCTCTTTAATTTAACCCTCTCCCCTTCATCTAAAGATTTACTCAACTTGATCTTCTCTTTTCCTCGTTTTAAGCCTATTACTTCAGATGAGAGGCTGTCTTTAAGTTTAGTCAAGTCCGATTGTAAGCTTTCATGGCTCGTCTTTACTGAAAGAGTCAGAGCAGTGTTTGTGGAGTATTCAGGTGGCTTATGCCTCAAGCTAAAGACAAACATGGTCCTTCTTCAGGTTTACAGCTGTTTACAGTCTGCTGGATCTTAATAGAGAACAAGCAATAAAGAGAAAACAAGCAGACGCTGTGCTGATGTTCCAGAGCAGGATGGAGGCAGGGAAAGAATACTGTTATCTTTAAATTTTGTATTTTATCCTCACTTCCCCCTTTTATTTTCCTTATCTACATATGAATGTTGTATCCCTTTATACATCGTCTGAACGTGCCTGACTCCAAAGCTTAGTTTTCACTTCAAAAAAGCAAGTCACCTGTTCCATTAATCCCACAGACTGTTTCAACATTTAACCCGGAGAGAGCACATTAATAATAAACTAATCATTAAAGAGGACAACTGCAACAAAGAAGTAAAGCCTGTGGGTTTAAGACCATTAAAAACCTCTACTGAATTAAGGGCAACAAAATAAACAATAGCACAAGGTGCTTTAGGATAATGTCTGCAAAAATCAAAATTTCTATAAAAATATATTGTCTGGTTTTAGAATTATGTTTATCTAAATGCATAAAAATTCACATTTTATTGTAGTTTTCTATGCTTTGCATCACATTTTAAACTGTAACATGTATCCAGTTATTTGGTTTCCTCTGTGTGATTCAAATCCTTACAGTGGTATTTGGCAGGACAACACAATAAAACAGACGCTCCTACTTCATCAAAGTAACACTGCTTAACTTTTGACCATGTATTCACTTATTTTGATAGATTTTTAATTAGTTTTCAGGTTGCTGAACAGCACTTGGTGAGTATCTCTGTTCTGTTCGAGCTACATTTTTAAAAGCTTGAGAGTGTCGAATCTGTCACTGAATGAGTCGTGTGCTCTGGGTCACATTGTTGTGCTTAAACAAAACAACTTTGCCTAAAAAAATAGTTTTTAGGCAGCATAAAAGATACGACATTTACTTGGAAGATACAGGTCTAGCGCTCCTAGTGGCTAAAAGATGCACAGTAGTGTATGGAGGAGGTTTTTGATTAATCAAGTTGTAGATCTTTTTTTTTTAAGAGATTCAAATTATTAGGACATAAGAAAATTTTAAAACAGAAACAATGTCTCATACTTAATCACAGGCAGGCTCCAATGAAATATATCACATGAAATTTTACACTCTTTCTGAAATACAATGGTATCTCTTCAGCAGTGTTAAAGGTAAAGCATCTTTTTCCGGGTGGATCATCAATATAAGTGTTCTTCCTAATTGTCAATCAATCTGGTGATATGTTTATGTAAGGCCGTCTTTTGTGCTCGTCCCCATTTTCTGACATAGTGGAAATTTTTCAAATCTTCTTTTCGAAAGTAAGCTTGTATTAACGATGCAAACAGCAACTTTTGAACAGAGCGTGCACGAGGAGGAAGGGGATCGTGCATGCTCTTGCATGCATTAAATAGGTGTTCCCTCTCGGGAGCAAGTACATGGTTGTGCATGTGCATTTTTTTTTTTTTTTTTAAGTGGAGAGGGCGGTACTTTTCAGAAATTCAGGAAAATACTCCACTATACCTTTAAATGAGTCAGTAGCTTGAAAAACTTAGCCAGAAGATAATCAGATAATCAATTAATTAAATAATCATGTATCCATCTTCATTCCAAGGCCTTTGAATCATCTTTATTTCTAGCTTTGTCTTCAAGTAATTTGATTATATATAAGAACTTTTTGAATGAATAGATCATCTTTGGGTTGTGATCTACTTTCACACCAAACAACTTAAGACAAAAAAAATCCCCTTCCACTGTTTTTGTATTTTTTTACGTGAGTTTAATATGACACACAGCTCCCTCACATTTATAAGTGGAGGGAAAAATAACACTAGCCTTTCAGACTGAGTTATCATAACTTTCTTCCTGTCCCCATCCTGTATTACTGACAGGGTTGACACTTTCTTCCTTGCTGTGTTTATGACATTTTACATTCCAACCCCTTGACCCTTTTGGATATACTTTACTTCCATGGAGATTGGAGAAGATGTCCCTGAAGACTTTCCCAGGACATCGGAGGCAGAGTTGATGCTTACTCTGATCTCAGAACAGAGACTTACAGTCACGTAACTCTGAGGGCCATAGAACAAACTGAACTAAGGGAGGGAAGTCAGAAGTGAAGGGCACATGTGTTCGTTCCCATGATGTCAGTTGAGAGAAACCTAATAAAGTTTATGCAAAGATTATGTTGACATTTTCACAGCATGAGATGAAAACATATGAAAAATTAAGATTTAGTTGCTTAAAACATTCAGTTACCCCTGTCTTTACTGGTAGGTCAGAAGAGCTGTAGAGTTGAAAAGAATCCAACTGGTTTAACAAAGACTTGAATAATTGAGGCATTATTTTTTTTATATCTGAATTTTTTCAAACTTGAATGCTCTGATATTAATCACTTCTTTCTCAGATTTCTCAAGAATATTCCAAAAACCTTGAGTTATTGCATCACTTGGAGCGATTTCTCCAACAGAAGTGATAAGATAAGTGGGTACATTATTTTGACTGTGTTATGACGCAAACTGGTACAAGAAAAAAGTCCCATGTATGTTTCACAGTTGAACCCATCTAGAGACAGGGAAACTGGGACGGACCTGTGACCTTCATTCGCTTTGGTTGGAATGGACCGAATTCAAATTCCAACAGATAAGAAAAAAAATATTATAAACACAAGACTCCCACAAGATAAACATGTCATCTTTCTTTTTCATATGAGCTTAGACTGTTGGAGGCCTGTCATCTTTTTTTCTTTTTTTTTTAAGCTATGGAGGATTTTGTGTTTGCTTCCTGATAATCACATAAAATAAAATAAAAAGACGGAGCCTGGCTGCGGGTTAGTGATGATAGAGGGGCTCTTTGGTTCTCAGACACACACTGCTTTGGTTTACCTAGGATATAGGAGCATCACATTTAGTATAGCTCGCAGCATCAATATAGCCACCTAAAATCATCAATACAAATGATATTTATACAGTTGGGTTATTTTAACCAACCATTAGGTGAAAGTCAGAAAGGCAAACCAATGTTTGAAAAGAGAAAAATGCATTGTATTAATCCAGTAGTGAAGGGTGACCCATCAGCAATCATTGTGAAGCTATGGGGAGCTTCTATGTTAAGCATTTGACAATTAAGCCAGTTAATGTCAGCCAATGTAGAACAATTTGTAAATCTTTTAGAGTGGCTTTTTCAACCCTTTAGCAAACATTTATTATTATTTTTTTTAGTACTTAATGACAATTCTTGTAACTTTTTATTATGTCGTTAGGCTACGAGTCAAAAGCACACAGACTTCTTTGCTGTTTTTATGGCATTTTATGATCCAACCCCTATAACCCGCATGATTACACTTCCCCTTGTAACTGGCCTAAACACAAACCAATGGCAGCTGGCAGTTTTTAGTGTTACTAAAGTAAAATAATGTGAGGCGCTTCTTTAATTTTTAATGTATATTTTCCGTAATAAAGAAAAAATAAAAAAGTTGTTGCCTCTTTGAGTCATTAAGCTGGCTCAAAAAGGCAGCAACAAGTGGAGGAGGGGTGGATCTTAGTGAAAGTTTCGCGCAGCAAAAGTAAACTTGAGTCACTCAGAGTCAGAAGAGAACATATAGCCCTATCTTACCAATAATTAAATCTATTCTTCTTTTACTTGTTTATTTTTTTCAAATTAAACCCTATTTTATTCCTGAAGCAGCCAAAATGAATCCAATTGGAACATCTGGAAAATAACTGGGACTGAGCTGGTGAACATGCATCTCCAGCTGACCTGAGAGAACTTGAGGCACTTGTTCACCTCCTCCTGCTTCCTGCCAAAAGAGCTCTGCGTTTACTTTCAATCCAGTCAAAAAGAACACAATTTACAATTACAGGGTCTGTTTCTATTTGCAAAAAACAAAATAAAATACAAATACATTTGAACAAAACGAATTCAAATCGGTATGGACTGTTTAATGGTAGTAACAAAGGAACACGTTGCGTTAATGAGGCTTTTGTTTATCTGTTTCCTGTGCGTCTGTTTTATTACCTTGTAGGAGTGATGGTAGTGCCAGGACATGTCGTCTTCCTCTGACGCATAATCCACCAATACTTTACTTTTGGTTTTCTTGAACATATTTCTACTATTCACCAACAAGAAGCTGGAAAAAATCCGGGTAAAATAATCCTCTATTTCGGCACCAAAGGAAGCTGAAGTTTATTCCGCTCAGTGGAGGTTTTCTGGTTATATTGTAGCGCAGCACCACCGCAACTCGTCCAAGTCTGCTGAATTTCTCTCCTGCTGCAAATCCACACGTCGTACTTTTTTTCCTCTCCACCTAAAATCAGCTTAAGCACAGAGTTGCGGTGGGCTGGTGTGTTTCATGAGCGTTTGGCTCTTTTTTACGCAGCGTTTTTACGCATTTTTTGGACCACCTGGACCTCAGGCTTTAGCTCCTCCCACACGCCCCCAGCTTTGCCTCCTTGGAGTTGGAGGAGGGGGGAGTCAAACTTCTTATCTTGGGTTTAAACAAACCTTAGGTCGATAATTCATGCGAACCTATTCAACTTTTTTTTATTTTTGATCTTTTTGGCAGTCCTATAAAGTATTCACATCCTTTTGACATTTAAATAGAACGCTTCATTTCAGGAAATTTCAGGAAAATTTCTTATGTTTTACTTGGTTATTGTCAAACACAGATAAGTCTGGCATTTATTTATATTTAATTCCTCTAGCCAAAGCTTTCTGGAACCAACTAGTAGCTTCAATTGTAGCTGCAAGTTTTTAAGGATTTGTCTATAATAGCTTTCCACATCTAGGATGCTTATATAATGTTATGTCAGATTGAATGGAGAGTGTCTGTGAAAGTAAGTAAGAATATTTTAACAGTTTTTTTATTTAAATTGATGTGACTAAGCCTGTCTGCAACCCACAGCTCTTACAAGGGACTAAAGATAATGTTTTTTTTTATATAGTTTATTAACAAATACCTTTCTTACAAGGTTTAGCGTGTCGTTGAATTTGTCTGAATGTAATTTTTATTAGAGAATGACATTAAAGAAACAAAAACAATGTGTAATCTTTTTCATTTGTTGTTTCATTTTTACATAAAATAATATCCAATACAACAAAATCTCAAATTAAAGGTATAGTGGAAGACCTACCATATCTACTTTAAAAAAGAAATGCACATGCACAACTCTGTACCCGCTCCTCGGAGGGAACACCTATTAAATGCGCGTACGAGGAGAAATGGGCTTGATAAAGTTGTTGTTTCAACTTTTAAACTAGCTTAATTTCCAAAAGAAGATTTGCAATTTTCCTCTATGTCAGACTCACCACTGGTTAGTGAAAATGGGCAAGTAGGACGGCCTTATGTAGAATCACCAGAATGATTGACAATTAGGAGGACCACTTAGATGATCCACCCAGAAAAAGAACATCCTCCACTATACCTTTAATGCTTCTCCTTTATGAAACCTCTATTTCTATCCTTATTGTAAAAGCTAAACACAGCAAATAAACAGTTTAAAATTAAGGCATATGTCCTATTGCAAAAGTTTAATAAAAATAAGAAGTTGTGTTTATTTAAATGGAGCCCAGGAGCAAATTCAACTGAAGAAACTCCTACATCCACCTGCGACACAGCCAATCAGCTTTGAACCACACCTCCACGAAAGCCAATCGGCATCCAAATCTCATCCTAAAAGGCCTCCGTTCCGCACCTTTCTGCTCCTGTGCGCAACTCCAACTCCAGCCCCTCCCCCACCATCGTAGCTAAAGCTTCATCAGAGTGTCATTCCTCCCGGACTCTTACTGCGTTTCCTGTCTCATCTTAACCGTTCTGAAAGAAGACCGCCATTTTGAGCCTGGTTCTGCCAGAGGTTTCTTCCCAACAGGGAGTTTTTCCTTTCCACTGTCGCTTCATGCTTATTCATCAGGTCCTTTCAACCTGTGTTATCCAACTGGACTTCCATCTTCCAGGTCCCACAGTGATGCTCTAGTATCAGCTCACACAGTCCACTTTATGGGGACTGTGCAGTCCCCATAAAGCTCAGCGTACCGTCTCGCTAGCCTGCAGTCTACTGACCGACCGACTTCATCTATCTCCAATCCACCACCAGTTTCAGGCCTGGCGGGGAGGGGGGGACAGCCCTATTCTTTGCTCCTGTTCATATATATCTATCAAAATTAAGCGGCATGTTTCCTGCCGAGGTCTGAACCCCAATGACAAAGTAACTGTATAATACATTTCTCCTAATTGTCTTTTCTCTATGTGTGAGTTTTTCAGATTGAAATGTAAAATGTAAAGTCTGTAAGACTTTTTTTTAGCTCAGTTCAAGGTAAAATGGCTCTCTGGATTAGAAAGGTTGTGACCCCTGGACTACACCAATCTGTTAATTAATGTTAGCCCTGTTTGGAAATTACATTTTTTGTCTTCAGATTGAATGACCTTTAACTTATCTGCTTTCTATCCTTCACAGCTTGTAGCAATCAGAGATCTTATCATTTGTTTTTTGTTAAACAATGGTTATCTTCTTGCTACTGCTCTAAAAATTGGACTTGCAGGCTGTATAAATAATAGTTCTCCATAAACAGACCCTCCAAACCGACCGGGCTCCTATTGGCAGATTTCTGTGTAATGCTTTTCTTATCTAGCTTGCCAGTTTAAGAACAAACATGTATTCATAGGGCTACAGCTATGTCATGCTTTAAAGATAAAAACAAGCTACTGATATATTAAAGCGTGTTTTATTAGATGTTCATTGCTTCTTTTATAAGACAAATCTGTTTAAATGTTTCCACAGCTTTATTCCAGTTCTAGCTGTTACCTTTGGGTCATTGCAGAGGGTTTGTTTTAGTGGCATCAGAGTAAAGTGGGCGGAAATACAAAAAAATATAGTATTTTGTTAGGCTTTCTTATTGAATCCTCATAAATTATACCAAAGTCTGAGGATGTCATGAGAGAACATTTGAAAAGGTTGTGAATATTTTTGCGAGTTGGGTTTAGATTGTGTTTTGATCAATTTGGGGGATTTGGGTTTTGGTCAGTTGTTTACTTTAAAGATGATCTTACCTGGCTTTTACCTGATAAACTGTAGAACACTTGTAATTTAGGATTTAGAAGGTTCAAGGAGAGTAATTATTTGCCCAAACTCTGTTTTCTTTCTTTCCATTTAGAGTCATCAGCACGGAAAATTGGATCATAGGTGTTCAAGGAGTCAGGTTGCATATTTACTGTAGACACAGACTGTTTATTGTAGAGAGCATAAGCCACATCATAGTGCTGAAATTGAAATCCTTCCCCCCCTCATAGAGGCCTCTGCTGCCAGAGGAAACAAATAACACATTATGCTGAAGGGCTGACCCCCTTAAAATAGCCACACTTTGGCCACCTTTCTGGTTAAGACCCCTCACCTGATTCAAAGATCTGTAAAAGCCCTTTCTTTATGCAATGGGTCAGCTGGGGAAATGCAGAGAAAACACTTATCAGATCAAACACATGAAGTTTTACTTCTTTCAACACATTGGACTAGGATGGTATTAATAATGAGGGTGAAGTAATTTTGAGGCTTGAAGTATTTTCTTAAAACCTTTTCCCTTTATAAGCGGCATCTGCCACCTTTTCGAAAATTCAAAAGCCACTTTTTCCACCACTGCTACGAAATTAAAATTGTCAAGAGGTTTGATTAAGATGTACATAAATATTGAAAGCCTAGAAGATTAAATTAAGATGTTTTATTTTTTTCATTCATCAGACTTTAGAAGAAATTTAATGATTAAACCTTTATAGAAAGGAAGAAAAATCATATTTATATTGTAAAATTAGTCCAGCTTAGTGAGCCACCATAAATATGAAAGCTGAAGAACATAAATAAGCCCAACCAAAAGTATAAACCAAATGAAAAAGCTGCATTGAATCAAGTAGAAAAAAAACATTGATGTTTCCTTAAAGATACAGGCAAGAATGACAAATTTATTTATGCAGCACATTTCATACACAAGGAAACTCAATGTACCTAACAACAATACAAACACAAAAAAACAAATTCAATCAATACAAATATATAAAAATACATATTATATATTATAATTAGTTAAAATGCAATCAATCACCATAGGCAAGAGTAAATATGCATGATTTCAACCTGAGCTTAAAGCTACAGTGTGTAATTTTCAGCGACATCTAACGTTTCAGACTGCAGACTGCAGCAACATGAACATCTCCCCCCACCGCTTCTCTCCCCCAACAGTACGGCGAGCGTTACGGGACAAAATGTCTTCCACGACTTCCGCATCACCTACCTTCTCAAGTGATGAGGTTTGTTTACATAGATCATTTTAATACTGCCATCTATTGTTCAGTACCGTCTCAGTTCATCTCTCTCAACTTGCCGTAGTTACTTTCGAGCGTAATGGGCGATCTCACAATCGCTAGTTTGTTGGCTCTGCGCTGCCGTAGTGCAAAGATGTCTGCCTCCATGGCTGCGAGACCCGCTCCTATGTAATTATAAATAACGAATTCTAAGGCAACGCAAATATTAAGGTTAAGAGGCTGAGCTCGTAGATGATGATAAATAACATAGTTATATATAATATATTACATTTCTGACTGTATATCCCTGTAATTATTACACACTGTAGCTTTAAACATAATCAGATTTTATGCTTGTTTTGCGTCCTTATTAAGTCTATTCCAGACCTTAGCTGCATGAAAATAATACGCAGCCTCACCATATTTAATGGTGACTCTAGGAACCACCAGTAAACCCCTCCCTGAGGATATCAAGGCCTGAGGTGGTTCATATTGGTGCTCTGGACTAATATGGTTGTGTTACCTGGTTCTGTAAGGACTCAAACAGCAGTGTTTTGGATAAATTGTAGTTATTTAACAACTCATTTGGAAAGGCCAGTGAACGGGCCGTTACAATAGTCTAACCTGCTGGAGACAAATGCATGGATTAATCTCTCCCATGTTTTTTTTTTATTTTAGTAATGTTTTTAGATGGTAATATGCTTGATGTACTGAGCTTGAGGTCTCAGTCCATGATTACCCCGAGATTTCTAACTTGTTTTTTAGGTTCTAATGAAAGAGTTTTAAGATGATGAATGACAACTCTAGTTTTTTGTAGTCCAAAGACAATTATCTCAGTTTTATCCGTATTTAACTGGAGGAAGTTGTTTTGCATCCACACACTGATCTGTTTGATAGAATGGCACAGAGTATCTACAATTATTTCTTATTTCAGTTTTTTTCAGAACCACAGTGAAGGGACCGTTGATACAGATCTGTGTCTGGAGCCACAGGTTGCTGACCCCTACTGCTCTAAAAGGAAGCCCCTTAATGGAGTCTGATGTTGGTGCCTTTATTAGTGTCATCTGACGTAGCCCAGGACTGCCTGCTAAAATGA